ACAACAAAACTAATAGCACCTAATACTCCCCCATCTCAACTTCAAATGGAAATTTGTATTTTGCATCCAAAGACTAGTCCTCTAAAACATACAACTGCATTCTCAAGCTTTACTTTTGATAACATTGACACTTAAGAATAGAAGTAAGCTTGTGCAGAACGCATTTTCAACATCTCAGCACTCTCCTTTTTCTTTTTTTTCTTTTTTTTCTTTTTTTGTTTTGTTTAATCATGCTCAATTCTACAAAGCTACATCACCCCTCAAATTCACATTTCGTTGTAATACACATGCTCCATCCACTTTTTCTATATAAACAAAAAACCCCAAAAGCACAACTTATTTAATACTTTCTCAAAACTATAAGGGATCGATTTCTATGTATGGGCTCAACTCCAATATCAGAGCATGGTAAATAGATGTGGCTAACAAAGGAATGGCTTAGTTAAAGGCTCAACGGGCTACTAAGGATAAACATAGCATATAAGGTAGGCATGAAAGGCTCAAAAGATCCAAAGATGGCCTATATCACTTCCAAGTTATTACTTGAATTGATGAATGAATCGAGAGGTATAAAGAAAGTTCTAGAGATACATGTAAGAACGAGATCAAACGCACAAGAATAAATGTGATTGATGCATGATAGTTCAACCACAAAATAGGCTCAAAAGCTCACAAGGATTACCGTAAGTCACTATATTCACATATGAAGTGTTAAACCATGCTTTAGTTTCACATCAACAAGGCTATGTGCATATATATTTTCCAAGGATGATCGAACATGTACAAAGCTAACAAAATGAATAAAGAGATTCGCCTAAAACATGCTTACGACTTTCAAAATAACCATAGTTCGAATTCAATTCAATTTCATCATTGGGCCACAAAACTAACAAAAATCTAACTGAAAACAAGAAATAAAAACAAAAATCTTTTTGGAATTTTCAAAGTTTCTGATTTTTATAGATTTTTCTTTTTTTTTTTTCTAACCAAAATACTAACTAAAAGTAAATAATTAAAAAGGGAGGATCCAGCCAGCTAAAAGCAACATGCTTATTTCAAATGAAACAGTCAGACTAAACAAATTTTCTTCAACCAGGGCTTAAAAATCTCACTCCTACCCCTAAACTTAGATGAGACATTGTCCTCAATGTCTGAAAGCAAGCACATAAAAACACTTGGAAGAGGAATGAATAAAATCACTTGGTCAAAGAACTTCCCTGGTTTATGGTTCACATGGCAACCACGGTGTGTTCAATGCAGTAGCCACCCCCAAACTTGAACACTTTAGTCTTCCATTCAACGTTGTAGGGTAGCAACACTTCTCTACACCAAGAGAAAATAGTCAGCAAGTAGCAAACGAGTGAAGATAGAAAACAAAACAAACAAAACGAAAAATATGAAATGAAACAAGCAGAAAATATAAGAAAAGCATGGGTTGCCTCCCATGGAGCGCTAAACTTATAGTCTTCAGCCAGACTATATGAGGTTTATGCTAGATCTCAAGGCGAGGTAACCGTCTTCATGGTATCAAAAATTGTTTCCACATACGACTTCAATCTTTGACCATTAACCTTGAATATGCTTCCCGACTCCAAATTCTGAATTTACTGTGCCATATGGATAAACTTGCACTACCACGAAAGGACCATACCACCGAGATCGAAGCTTTCCAGGAAACAACTTTAATCTTGAATTGTACAGCAACACCTTCTGTCCGATATGGAATTCTTTCTGCAAAATGTTCTGATCATGCCACTTCTTAGTTCTTTCTTTATAGATCTTGGCATTTTCATATGCATCGTTACGAAATTCCTCCATCTCATTGAGTTGTAACAATCTTTTCTCCCCAGCCGCTTCCATGTCAAAATTCAGTGTCTTGATTGCCTAGAAAGCCTTATGTTCCAGCTCAACCGGCAAGTGACATGATTTACCGAAAATAAGCTGATATGGAGACATGCCAATTGGAGTTTTGAAAGTAGTGCGATATGCCCATAAAGCATCATCTAACTTCTTCGACCAATCTTTTCTCAAAGCACTCACAGTCTTCTCCAGAATCTTCTTGATTTCCCGATTTAAAATTTCCACTTGTCCGCTTGTCTGAGGGTGATAAGGGGTAGCAACCCTATGCGTGATTCCATACTTTGCCAAAAGAGCTTCAAATTGCTTATTACAAAAGTGAGTTCCTCCGTCACTAATAATAGCACAAGGGGTCCCAAAGCAGGTGAATATATTTGCCTTCAAAAATTGGAGAACAACTCGGGCATCGTTTGTAGGAACGGCCACAGCTTCCACCCATTTCAACACATAATCGACTTCTATCGATATATACTTGTTCAAGAAAGAAGAAGGAAATGGCCCCATAAAATCAATTCCCCACACATCAAAGGGTTCAACTTCCAGAATATTATTAAGAGGCATCTGATTTCTACAAGAAATATTTCCGATCCTTTGATAACGATCACAAGAGGCAACAAAAACATGTGAATCCTTGAATAAAGAGGGCCAAAAAAACCTAGATTGGAGAACCATTGATGCTGTTTTTGAGGCACCGAAATGTCCCCCACACGCAAGAGAGTGACAATGATTGAGAATGCTGATTTGTTCATCTTCAGGTACACATCGGTGAATCAGTTGATCTGGACAATGTTTATACAAACACGGATCATCCTAGAAATAGTGTTTGACCATGAAGAGAAATTTCTTCTTTTGTTGAAAACTCATTGTGGAGCCAAAAATAATCAAGAGGCGACACGTGGATTTTTGGGCAAATAGGACAAAGTTACCCTTGAGGAACACGGGAACTCCTGCGCGTGCAGTGGGCAAACATCCCACAATCAAGTCAAAAGTGCCTAAAATAGGTATTTATTCAAAACCTATTTCATCCATCTTCTCCACAAGGTAACCCCCAAAACATTCCTTTTAAATAATGTTAATTGGCTAATTAATGGATTTATTACCTAATTAATCTATTAATGCCCAATTAAACTACCAATTACACCCAAAAAACACACAAGAGGCTGGTCACCTTCTCTCCCAAGGGAATCAGCCATGCCTTATATATTCTACCTCATTTTCTCTAAAAAGCTAAGTTTTCACTCTTGCTAAAAACTAAAAAAATTCTCCGAACACTTTTTCCTCAAAATTCTAACTTTGGCATCGGAGGTTCTTTGGCCCAAGCCAATTTATTGTGGGCGCGTGAGGCTTTTGGCCTTGACCTAAGGTGTTATTTGTTTTGTAGGTGCAATTTTGTCCAAGAACAAGGAGAAAGAAATTTGCATCCACAAATTGGTGCTTTCATTGAGAGTTGAGTCCCACACTCGTAGAAGACTCTCGCATCCAAGGTTTTTCTATTTTCTTGTCCATTTATAGATTTTTCGTACGTTTTTATTATTAGAATTTTTTATTTTCAAAACTTCTTTGAGAAAACGTAAAAAAGAAGTACAATGGCTAGAAATTTAGAGAATTCTACAAGTGAAAATTCCAATATTCAAGAGATAGGACCGCGGCGATCTATGAGGCTAAATGTGACAATAAGTGGAGGGGCACCACCACCACGGTAGCCACCCACGGCGAGGTCCATGGTGTCACCACCACCGCTCGAGCCGTACCATCTAAGCAAGCCCAAGCCGTGCCATCCAAGGCTCACAATACCAAGGCCACGGCCCAAGCCATGTCACTTCATGCCCAATGTAAGCCCAACACTTTGCCAAGCTGAGCCCAAGCCTTGCACCCGCGTGCATCACGCACTGAGCAGTCCGCTCTCGTGGCCAAGCCTGCTCCCATGGTTTCCCAAGCAGCCTAAGTTAGCCCGAGAATATCTCAACCATCAGGACTTACCATCGAGCCAGGGGCATTTTCACCACATTACTCCGCGGATTTGACATTTCCAAACTTAAATCTCACGCCCGAAGTCTACCACCCTTCCACTGCTTAATGAGGCGTATTCCTTCCAAGCTCTTCTAATCCGAATGGCGAACAACACTTGTTCCGACAAGTCATAGAGTTGACGAGTGCCCATGCATAACAGACGACCTTGGTGAATCAACTCTTGCAACACACCGAAATCTAACGTGCCCCAGACCAGGTGTCCCTGAGTAGGACAAGGGTAGACGAGGAACCTTTCTAGCAGTGTCCCGGCAAACAACCACTCAACCAACCATGAACTGAGCATTCAGGCAGCATGCACTCCCGATTAGGCCCCCGAGATAGCGTATACTCCCATCGTAGCACGCGTAGAAGCGTGCACTGTCGACTAGGCCCACAGGCAAGTATACACTATCGATTGGGACCACACACAGATGATCAAGATGAGCAGCCTTCCAAGCAAAATGTTTATACCCAACTAAGCTTGCAAGGAGCAACTTCCACATCTCATCAGAGTAGGCAACATGACAGACGGAGAGAAGCAGTCACTCGATCCTGCTCAAGTTTAACCTGCAACCTGCAAAGAATTTCATTGCCGGGTAAGAATGGACCATATGCACCACCGCCGCGGTATAGACAAGCCGAGAACATAAAAGAGCAACCTAGACCAACAGGTTAAGACCAGAGGTAGCCAAGAGCTCTGCTACCCCAACAAAGGCATCCAAGAAGAGGTAGAAAGACTCCTTAACGAACGACTGTGTGATTTCCAATGCAACGAAGTGGCCAATGAAGCACTACGGCGGGATATGACTAACATGAGCAAGTCACCCTTCACGAATGAGATTGAGCAGGCAGAGCCTCCATGCAAGTTTGACATGTCACATTTCACATCTTTCAAAGGAGATAAAGATCCAAAGAGGCACTTGAAGTACTATCGAAGCGCGATGGTCCTTTACCGGAATAACGATGCCCTTATGTGCAAAATATTTGCCACCACTCTACAAGGCAAGGCGTAACATTGGTTTCACACCTTGCCATCACGATCCATTCGGACTTTTGATGATCTTTCTTTAGTTTTCACCAAAGAATACTCATCCTATCGCTCGATCAAGAAAAAATCCGAGCACTTGTTCAACATGAAGAAAAACCCAAAGGAGTCGCTTCGTGACTATGTAAAAAGAATCAAAGTAGAAAAGACAAAGATCGTTGGATGCGACGACTCAATAACAGGTGCAGCCTTCCAAAAAGAACTCCTAGCAGACCACCCACTATTCGAAGAAATGATCATGAAAGAAGACTTAACTTTAGCAAATTCCTTTGCCCTGGCAGAGAAGTATGCACTTTGGGACGAGGCTCGACAAGCAGAAAAGACGCCCAAGCAGCCTCGAAAAGAGTTAGTAGTGGCTCAAAGGAAAGAAGATGGGAAGCAGTCCAGCAAGGGTAAGTAGGAGGCCAAGCGTAAGGACCGACCTAAGACCAAAGAAGGCCTGATGACCAAGAACTATTCTAAGTTCTCAATTCCAACCCATCAAATCCTTTGCGACATCAAGAATGAGCCATGGTTCAAGCTACCGAAATAATTAAAATAAGATACTTCCAAGTTAGACCACACCAAGTATTGCGCATTCCACCAAAGTCCTGGTCACACAACCGATGACTATTACACTTGGAAGAACTACCTAGAGAAGCTTGTGAAAGAAGGCAAGGTCGATAGATACTTGGACAAGACAACTGCACAGCCAAGAAGGAACACAAACGACGAAGAGACACTGCCTAAGACAATTCGAATCGATGGTGTCTTCGTCGAGTCCGAGCACTTGGGGGCCACCAACAACTCTAAGAAGAGAAAGATCCAACAGGCTCTATTAGTCTCACAAGTCCAAGCAGTCAACACCCAACCTGGACCCACTGAGCAGGATGCAGAAGGCGTCGATTTCCTACACGACAATGCACTAGTAGTACCTGTCCAACTAGCTAATGTTATAATTGACAGAATGATGGTTGACAATGGAAGTGCAGTCAACCTACTTCAGCTATCAGTCATTCAGAAGATGGGCCTGGAAAACATAATCATACGCCGAGCGGACGTACTCACCAGATTCAATGGGCACACCTCAACTGTCATCGGTTACATCACACTTGACGTGAAAACACCGTTAGTTGTCTTAAAGCAGACTTTCATGATCGTAAGCGACCTATCTCCCTACAATAAGATTTTTGGGTGACCTTGGTTGATCAAGTTGGATGCCGTCACTTCCATTAAGTATCAAAAAATTTGATTCCGCATCCCAAGATGAGGAATCGGGGAGATCAAGTCTGACTAGGCCGCATCCTGACGATGCACTGTGCAAGTGTTGAAAAATTCAAAGAAGAAAACCTTTACCCCCTTGGAGGTTATCGAAGTCCAAAGGGATGAAGAGACTACCAAATAGCAATTACAGAGGCGGATCAATAAGATGGCGCCCAAGCAGACGAGATAGGATGAAGACTTGAAGAGGACGTATAAGACATCATTCTTGATCCCCAGTAATTGGAAAAGACAGCTAGAATCAGCTCACATCTAAGCCCAGTTGAGAAGGAAGAATCACGGCTTTCCTTAAAGAAAACCGAGATGTTTTTGCATGGTCATCGTCCGACATGCCCGGCATCGATCCTGAGGTAACCTGCCACAAGCTGTACGTCGACCTTGCTACCAAACCTGTGATCTAAAAGAGAAGACATTTCGCACCTAAGCAAGTAACGATCATCGAAGCAGAAATTGATAAGCTACTGGGGGCTGGATTTATAGAAGAAGTAGCACACTTAATATGGCTTACCAATGTTGTGCTAGTGATGAAGAAAAAGAAGGATAACTGGAGGGTTTACGTAGACTACACCGACATTAACAAAGCATGCCTACAAGATCCTTATCCGGTCCCTCGGATCGATCTATTAGTAGATTCAACTTCTGGGAACCAACTGCTCAGCTTCTTGGACGCATACTCAGGCTATAACCAAATAGCCATGTATGAGCCTGATAAGGAGAAAACCACGTTCATGATCGAGCGAGGTACCAACTGCTACAAGGTTATGCATTTTGGCCTCAAGAACGCGATAGCCACTTACCAAAGGTTAGTAAACATGCCATTCAAAAAGCAAATAGGGGAAACCATGGAGGTCTATTTCGATGACATCATGGTAAAGGGCAAGCAGCGGTTAGACCACATCCGTAACTTGGCGGAAACTTTCAACATCCTCAAAACTACAAGATGAAGCTCAACCCCACCAAATACATGTTTAGAGTATCTTCAGGCCGATTCCTAGGGTACTTAGTAACCCAATAAGGAATTGAAGCACATCCCAAGCAAATTCCAAGCGATCCTAGAGATGAAGTCTCCAACTACCTTGAAGGAGATCCAAAGCTTGACCGGACAAGCAACTGCCCTCAACTGCTTTCTTTTGCAATCTACCGATCGATGCAAACCCCTTTTCAAAGCTATCAAGAAGGCATAACGAGACAAATGGGATGAAGAATACGAAAAAGCCTTCTAAGACCTGAAGAAGTTTTTCACATCACTTTCCTTACCATCCAAGTCGGAAGCAACGGAGGATTTATACATCTACCTAGCAGTCTCTGAAGTAGCAGTGAGTTTTTCCTTCATTTGAGAAAAAGTGGGGGCCCAACTTCTGATATTCTACACTCTAAAGCTCTTCTCGATATGGAAACAAGATATCCGAAAATCAAAAAGTTAATTTTGGCGCTAGTTGTTACAGCTTGGAAGCTCAGACCATACTTTCAAGCTTATACAGTCATTGTCATGACTCAGTGTCCTCTACGATTAACTTTACATGGTACAAACGCTTCTCAACAAGTGATGAAGTGGGCATTGGAACTTGGCCAATACGGTTTAGTTTCCGACCCAACATGGCTATAAAAGCCCAAGCCTTAGTGGACTTCATAGCAGAATTTAAACCTAGCTTAGGCGACTCAACAGAGCAGGCCAGCAAGACCCCAAAAGCAGCCAAGCACACCTAAGCTACTCATGCTCCCCTTAACGGAGATTTTTGGCATTTGCATGTCGACAACGTATCCAACTATAAAGGCTCGGGAGCAAGCGTGTTCCTTGTCACCCCAAACGACTCAATGCTTAAGCATGCGATCATTCTAGGCTTCAAAGCATCCAACAGCAAAGTAGAGTGCGAGGCTCTACTTCCAAATGGAAAAAGACTGGGTGATGAAGAAGCTTGCAATTCATTCCGATTCCTAGCTAATCACCAGCCAGACTACTGGGGAGTACATGGCAAAACATCCAAAGATGGTGCAATACCTATAGAAGGTATGCAAGCAGCTCGAGGCATTTCAGACTTACACTCTCACTCAAGTTCTACAAGCAGACAACGCCCAAGCAGATGCGCTAGGCGGCCTAGGCTCCGCCTTTGACCACCAACTCAAACGCTTTATTCTGATGGAATATCTAGACAAGCCAAGCATAAAGACAGAGTCGGCAGCCGAAGTGTCATAAGTTAGTATAACTCCCAACTGGCAAAGTTCTATTATAGACTACCTGGTCAACGGCACACTACCCCAGAAAAGATTGGAGTCTAGGAAGCTCCAAATCAAGGCAGCACGCTACTACATGTGGCACGACATTCTCATCCGAATATCTTACACCGGACCACATCTCCGCTGCTTAGTGCCTCCCGATGACTTGAAAGTTCTAAGCTCAATCCACGAAGGCATTTGCCGAAATCACTCCGGACGTCGACCCTTAGCACAGAAGGCTATTAACGCAAGCTACTACTAGCCTACCACCAACATGCTAAGGAGTTAGTACAAAAGTGCAACCGTTGTTAACGCTACAAGCTGGTACCAGCACTGCCTGTCAGCAAGCTACACCCACAAACGAGTCATTGGCCTTTCATGCAGTGGGCAATCGATCTGGTAGGACCTATGTTGCCTACTACTGGGGGCAAAGACATGATGATTGTGGCAGCCGACTACTTCACTAAATAGGTAGAAGCAGATGACATGACGACCAGGACTCAAACAGACATAGAATGTTTCATATGGAGGAACATCATTTACCGATTTGGCATCCCTCAGTCCATCGTCACTGACAATGGCCCGTAATTTGTGGGTAAAAATTTGACGAAGTTCTTCCAAAAGTATGGCATCAAGCAGCTGATAGGAGTATTTTGATGCGATTTAATTGGCTTGTTCTCGTGCATTTACGTTGTGTTTCTTTAGTTATTTTAGTCCTTTATGCCATTTCCGTGTGTTTCTAGGTTAATATGGCTAAAGAGGCAAAAAGGTGCATGCCGGAGCATTTTGGAGCAAAATTGGGCTTAGAATGGAAAGCTTATGCTTGGAGCCAAAGTATTGGACGAATTTGAAGGCCTTGTGTACTCTTTGGGACATAAAACAAAGGGCCTAGCCCAATCAAACAAACCTTTGAGCCATGCAAAGGGCCTAGCCCAATCAAACAATCCATGAAAGCCATGCAAAACCACCATTCACACACACATGCATCCTGAAAATTCTTTGTCGTGCCTTCCCCTTAGATTTTCAGCATTTCACTTCATCATTGCACCACATTCTCCCTCTTTAATCCACATGTATTCATCATCATTCACCCTAGCTGCCACTCACATGCATACACATGCATCACAACCCCAAAACCATCAAGAAACCTTCCTTGCCGTACCTACCCTTCCCTTTCCAGGTTTTCCCTTTGCATTTCCCTTTCATTTTCAGCCACATGTATCCTTCAATGCAGCCACCATTCACTCTTTAATCCACATGCATTCATCATCATTCACCCTAGTTGTCACTCACATGCATTCCCTTCAATAAATCAGCCAACACATGCACCCATCACCCAAAACACCTTCCTTGCCGTGCACCTGCATTCCCCTTGTGCAATTCCAGCTTTCCACCCACTTTCCTAGCTGTTTTTCACATGCATTGCAGCCACATTCTCTCACATTCTCACCCATTCTCTCCCTATAAAACCATGCAATCCCATCACACAATTCATTCATTCTACACCTCCATTCATACACAACACAACACAAAAACAACCATCCTGAAATTCCCTTGCCGTGGGTTCCCTTCCAATTCCAGCAAATTCTCTTCTATTTCCACCATTCCCCAACCCTCCAAAACACTATCCTACCATTCCTCCATACAAACACCAATCCAAACCTATCCTTAGACCTTGTGCCACAACAAAGAGGAGGAGAAGAGTGCCTAAACGTTCATACAATTCAAGTTTGAGTTGTTGGAATTTTTAGGTGTTGCTTTTCCTCGATTTCAATGTTTAATTTCAATTCTCTTTGTCTTGTACGTATGAGGAACTAAACCCCCCCTTGGCTAGGGGGAATTCGAAATACATGTTTATGCTTGCTATATGATTTGATTACTTTTGCGTTTCATAAGTTGTGAATTCAATTTGTTTAACTATTTGATTGATAACCTATTTATGTATGTTTATTGAGAGTGCACGCTTAATTTTCATGCATGAATATGACGCTAGAATATAAGTGAGTTTCACCTAATAGTTATGAACTTATATTCACAAGTAGTGGAGGTTGCTTATAAACAATCGCGTTAAGTAAATTCTTGGCATAAGTTTCATGCAATCATAGTAACGAATGCCTCGTCAACACTTATGGTTTTCAAAGAACTTAATGATTCTTGCCTGTATCTCTATTATGCAATTCATGTAGGGAACTTGTGGGGAATGCTTTGGGTTGTCGTATGCAATCATCCAATTCATTAACTTAAGGAAAACTTGACGGTTAATTTAAACGGACCTAATTAACCCGGGGTGTTGAGAATTCATGGTTTATTGAAAAGCAATTAGAAATCATTTTGTATGCAAGTATAACATGTGTGGAGATGAACCCCTTAGCTAGCTTCCCATCCATTCATTTCCGTCAAATTCGTATTTACAATTTGTTTTCTTTACAATCTATCCATTTTAGTTTAAATTCGTCCAAACCTCAATTCCCCCCCCCCCATATTTTGTTTAGTCTTAGTCTTATTCTATCTTATTCTGAGTTTTGCATTCTTTGAGTCTAGTATAGTGTTTTAAACTTGTTTTTACGTTTTTGAGTCAAATCCAAGTGATTAATAATCCCTCCTAATCCCTGGTCCAGAACGATCCCTACTTACATACTTACTACAATTGATAAAAAGAGGGTTTAATTTGTGTGCGTATAATGATCGCATCAAATTTTGGCG